ATATATATATATATATATATATATATATATATATATGCGGGTCGATTATTATGAGGCCTCAGCTATGCGTGATAGCCTAATATAATAGCCAGCGACAGCCCGTCATACTCACTAATGTACGTAACTTCTAGACCAGTGCTTGTATCCCATTTAATTTTATTTCCGCTTCTTAACACCCGTACTCTGTAGCTTGATGGAAACAACCGTCTCATAGTTATCCGCAGTGTAACTGCATCAACCAGGCGATCATTTCTGGGGCACTTCTAGGCACTTCTTATGCTCGCGTTTGTAAATGGCTCTTTTGTGATCTGCAGCAGCCGGTGATACTTTAAAAAGCTTCCCTAACTCAGACACGCATAGCACGTTCAAGCCCGTTCCCTTATTCAACCAACCACAAGACACCTCCCTATGTCCGTTACATGAGTTTGGGCCTCATCTGACTCATGGTTCAAGACAAAGTATTGATATTAATTTCCACCTACACGATTTTGTCTAAACTACTCTAATGCATGAGCGATCTAGTCAACCCATCCTCATACGATCTATCTCCGATTAAGATTTTGGTCTGACCAAGGACTGCAACGTTTACTCCATCTCGTTGCCCCTGGAACAAACATCCTTCGAATAAAAACCCTAGTGACATATATACCTATAATTCCACCAAACTCGTCCTTGCGAACGAAATGCTGTGGGCAACATCCCACTGGGACGCGCAAATGGATTAGACCAACTACACCTAAGACCTGCAAATTAAAAAAAACCATATTTTCGGCATAATTGATTTCGGCTAACTTCTAGTGAGACGCTAGTTGATTAGTCATCGTGAACCACAATACTCCCGTGCTGATATCAAGCACTGCGCCAAAAAACTAGATCAGTGGCTAGGGGTCGTTCCTGATATCAAGTAAGGATCTGTCGAGTACAGTGAATGTCTGTACCGGTGATTACTTAGAACAGCTATTCATGGGGTCCGAAAACACGAATCGTCTTCCGTCCAACCAACCGGTAGATGCACGGCGAAATTTAGCTAAAGGAGTGAAACTCTGTCGAATTTTGCGTTCAGGGGCACAATTTAGGCTCTATCGATTTTCATTAAGTGTAACAGTTGTGTAACTCCCTACCGATTTCACCCATGGTAAGGCATTTTCGGTCAACATCAAGGCGCAATATCTTATTACGTTTATACGCCCTTTTGACAATTCGATGCAGCTGATGAATTGAAGATTCGCTCACTTGAACGAATCGGCCATACAAACAGCTTGCAGGATGATGCAGTAGACATTGACATCTCTACCTACTAAGCGCTCACATTGAAAGCACCGTCATTTTCGAGAAATCGATTCCATTTGGCGGATTTTGAGCGGCCCTGACGATGTGTTGGATCGGGTCCTGGATCATTTCACGCGTCAACAAACGGGAACTGAATATACCTTTGACTGGTAAAAGTGCGAATTCTAATCTCGAGAAATTAAATACTCTTTATCCGCCGCGCATTAGTAGGGTCAGTGGTGAAACGCCTACAAGCTAAAGGGTTAAGCAAGGCGCGATAAATACGAGGCCATCTCGGGGGTGACGATGGCCTAGAAGAAAAAGATCACGGGTCCTGATACGCTCCTCTTATTCCATGGCCTATGGCCTAGAGGAAGAAGATCACGGATCCTGATACGCTCCTCTTATTCCATGGCCTGACGCCCGTCACCGAATGAACTCGTCGCACAAGCTCGGTGAATGTTTTGACCATCCGGCAGCCAGGAAATATGCAGGCCGTTGCGATAGTTGCCTTCCTTCAAGCTGAAGGAAAATTGCCCACGTCGAGCGACTGACGATACAAAAACTGAGACATTATCCAGGCTGGTTATGGTTTTCCCGGGCTGTTGGCTTGTTTATTCATAAAAGTCTGGCATGCTCAAAGAGTGCATCTTTATTCTTCCGAGCAAGACAATATCGCGGTCTACCTTCTTAAGCTCACTTGTAACATCTTTCATTCAAAGCGGTTATGCGTCCCACAGAATGTTAGCATTTTTTCTGCAATTCCAGAGAATGCTCGCTCTGGTTCAAGTTTAATTTCAAATGCTCATTTCGGAGAAGTCTGCGTGGTGTATTCTTTTATGCAAGAGGTAGCCGAGATAACGGTGTCCCATGCTTCAATAGAGCACTGTACTCTTTTGACGGGGAGCCCCTAAGTGTTTGCTGACAGGAGGGTATTGTTCCATGTGACAGGACTTAACACTTAAGGTAAACCTTATGGGATACTCAGTACAGCGTATGCTGTCATAAAAACTTCACCGAACTTACTAGCTACGAGAAACCTCTCGAATTTGAATTTGTTTGGCGGTGCGCCTGCTGCAAAGATGGTCGCTCCTCTTTGATTTCACGAATACAAAAGACGTAAATATTGTTCATGCACAGTTTCAACGCTTTTCAAATGTAAAACAAAGAAAACAGTTAGAGGAAGTAACTTCACTCCAAAAGCGTCTTACACAATCGCCGACTGATCAAGCTGAGGCATGACGGTCATTCTGCTCCCAGAGTAGACCTTGTGTATGTTCAAACAAATTAAAAAAGACGTGACTGTAGACGGATGTTTCAAATAAATCTTTATTCTCGAAAACTGGGTGAATTTTTCTTCTATTCAAACTATGTTTTCAGGGGTATTTGCGTGTCCAAGAATCGGTGTTCTAGTTTCCTTCAGCATGTGGGAACAGGCTGGTCAAATGAGCAACGGACCAAACCCTGATCCCATACAACGGTGGATACTCAGAACTTATAGTAGCTTAATGTTAAGTCCATATTCAGTATTGTCCACTTCACGAAACGGTAGATTATTTGTGTGCTTTCATCACAAACTAAAAATAATTCTGCGATGCTATGTAGAAGGACCGTTCATTTTACGTACGAAAAACCTCCGTTTTCATTTTGAAGGATAGGTATTTCAGAAGACTTAAATCGCAGCCATGGGTACGCCACTTAGACCTGGTCTAGCAGATGTTTTTCCAACCTTTTACAAACGGTGTGTAGATGACACCTTAATAATCAGATTCTACCCATTTGAGACACTTTTACAATTGTATGAACCGTGAGAATCCTAATCTGCCTGCATTGTGAGACCACGAATAATGAGTGGCATTTTTAAAGAGTTTTATAACCAAACGCTTGGATGGACTGATTACGTCCTAGGATTTTCCAGTTTTGTACACACCTCAAAGACGTTTGCACACGATTCCCACATCTATTTGTGCCTTTTCTCTTAAAAAAGAGAGAACGACACCTCGCACTTAATAAGATGTTTTACCATATCGCAATTTACAGACAGGAACTTATTTACAGCTAAAAGACAAATCCTGAGCCGAAGTTGGTCGTAATTACGAACCTGCGCAAATGGTTCTCCTGACACCGAGACAAATTAACCCACATTTTAAGTAGATAAATGGTTGTCCCTTTAGGCGCTTCGCTGACGTCGTCTGAAACAAGCACCAGCCCTGAGGTACTGTCACCTTGTTGAAACCTATAAAGGAGCAGTCGAGATGCAGAGGTTGGGGTCGAACCATGCATTTTCCGGTGGGTAAGTTCGCGTTTTAACCACTGAGTTATCTCGAGCTCACTTAATGCACCCAGTAGCTCTGCCTCACAGAGCGTATACATGCTGATGAGGTGACATATACACCGGCAGAGCAGACCGAGGCTTAAATGGGCGTGCCTAAGGACGAGAGTCCCGCTACTGACTGGCCGATCGACGGAAGCAATGCAAGCTCAAGGTTGAAAACCCGCCTCATCAATCATGCAGCACACCGGAGTGATCTAAAAACTCCTCTGAAAAGTCAATCCAAAACTGTTGGCGTTTGGCGAGGGCCATGTAGATCAACTAATATCGACCGAATGTAAGCACACGCAAGACGGTTAGGTGTCATTCGCCTGCCATGGTGGTACAATAATGACTGGTTCCGTTTTACTTCCTCTTTTTCATGCCGTAAATTGATTGTTTTTACGACGACGCAGAGGGAACGAAAACAGAGTGTTGGCAACCCGCAAACATGGTCCCCTTGCTGCAATTGTTAGAGGCTGAAGTCAAAAGACGGTTGATCGAAAACGGACCCGTTTATACTCAAACGACTCATGATATCAAGAGACACAAGCTGAATCAAAGGGAAAACAAGACAAAATAACACGTATAATAGGTTTCAGTACATATCACAACCGGCAAACAAGGCCGAGATAGGTTTGAATAAAACACAAATAAGAATCAGGGTCAAAACAAGGATGAAACCCAGGTTGATGAATTCGTCCAACGTGGAAATCTTTATTATTTATCCTCATTCAATAAGCGGAATGGCTTCAAGATTGAAAACGCTCTTGTTAGAAAAGATCTGTTGAGTAAACCGTAATTATTCAAGATTCCGTTAATGCCTATTGGTGTTCATCGTGATATGTCTTGGTGGGAAGTAGTGAATGAGTGAGGGATGGGATTGATGATCCGGAATTCTGAGTAGAACCAGACACTCTGGAAACACTTTTCCTGGGTACTGGGATGCGAGTAGGAGCCTGAGGTAGGTTCGGCTTGGTTGCACTCCCTTGAGAACTATGCGCTACATGTGATAAGATGCGCAAAGAGGGACTGTTAACGGTTGTTGTGGATAAGACACGCGAAGATGAACTTTCGGATAATCTCCGTTGAGATGACTCACGAGAATGGCGTGCAGCCGAGTTGATAGAGCCTCGGTAAATTGAAGAGTGACTTGGTGCTCTAGGAATAATTTTGTAATAATTATCTGTGGGTCCAGTGCCTTCAGAAATGTCAGACTGCCCGTGGGATGAACGCACCGGAACGGGAAGTCGACTGGTTGATAAACTCAGAGATTTTGGGTTTGTGGATGGTGCGCCAATAAACAGGTTAGGGTGGCTTGAGTTCAGAGGTTGGGAAGATTCAGTGTTCACAACTTCATTGACTTCTGACTGACTTTGGTCACTAGAGGTACTGCGAGCAGACGATTCGCGGCTTAGCGCCATCACTGAAGTGGTCATTGATATCAGCGACTTCTTTGAGTCAAAATCTGTCTTTTGAAGATCTGATACGGAAGAAGACAAAGCAATTCGAGAGTCGGGAACAGCTGCAGGAACACACTTGCCACGACGACAAGGATCATGCCGACTAAGAAACACGTCCAAAGTTAGCCAACCCCCACCAATGCGAACCATCACATGGTTCCTGAAACGTCGGAAATAGTAGATACGGCCGTTCACCTTGTACCTGCCTTCTTCTAACCGCTGTATATGCAGCCGATTACAGCAGGTGCACAAGGCTAGTTTCTTTTCTACCTACAAGGGAGAGTGAATAAGAATGAAACTCATTCCGACAGTCACACAAAATAGGGGAGGACACATCAAAGCCATATAGTGGTCAACACCGAACTAAAACCAGTAGCAAGCGAAAATAAAGCGAACATTGAGGCTGTCATCAGCAGCATATGTCTACAGCTCCAAGCACAGATGAAAGCAGCGTAATGCACAATAAGCAGAGATGCGGACACAGAAAGCTAACAACTGCAAAACTATCAACTTTACCGAGGCTAGAACGAGCAGGAACAAGATACTTGGCACATCGATGTTGTTACCTGCTCCGACAGAAAGTGTGCTTCACCGAACACATTCTTGGCGGTTGTTCGAAGATGGGATGCTGTGGAGTTCATATGACACGAATGTGTCGGCGAAAGCAAACAGACAGGATTCCTCGACGATTCGTTTGTACGTTGAGGAGACTCGTTCGTTTTCTTCTCATTACAGGCCAACCGGAGCTGACGCATCACGGTTACCGGGGTTGGCGGTGTAGCCAACTTCACCGGAGTCAAACAGGAAACTGTGCCGTTGTACGGTATTTCATCTTCCTCAGCCAACGAATCAGTCGCGCACGCAAAGGTGGCCGCCTTTGCGACCTTATTCGGTGTCCCATTATAGGATTCTGGTAGTGGTTGACTGGCTCGCCTTTTACCGGGGACTACAAAATCTATCTGCGATTGATGGTGAGGCGGAGTACAGAGCCTAGACTTACAAGGTCGATGACCCGAGATCTAGGATCCAAAGTAGAAGAAAAGGCCGAAATCACGGATTATATGAAAACAACACGCCCGGGATGTTAACTGGAAAAGACGGATATCACTAATGGTCATATGAAGGAACACCAGTCTTCTCATGAAGCTTATGTGCTTCCGAATGAAATTGGAACATGTCGAGATGGCGAATTATAGTCACTGGGTTATCATAAAACAACGATGCTAAAGAGAAGCGGGTTATTCTATCAATTAAAAAACGTTTGGAACTGACTGAGTAGTCATCGTTTTCGGAAAAGTTTCGTAACAATCGGTAGATTTATTGGTGTGCAACGTTTCACTTTTGGCAAAAAGCTTCGTCAGGCCAAGTGACTAGGTTAGGACTCCTAGCTGATTAGTTCTCCTTCCGCCTTAAATCTCGACCAACCTCGTAACTTAATCACTTAGCCTGACGAAGCTTTTGTGTCAAAAGCGAAACGTTGCCTATCAATAAATCTACAGATTGCGACCAAACTTTCCCGAAAAAAGTGGATTGAATTTTCGCAGACGTTATTAACGGAAAATATAGCGACCTAGAGAAGAGATTTTGAAACATGGATGGGATCGGAAAAGCCCGTTGACTAGATCCCACGTGGAAACACTCCTTTCTCATGGCACACAAAATGAATGTAAAACTTGGGGACTATGCAGTCGTTAGTTCTGTCGAGCTGAAAGACGTTGCTAGAGAGATTGATGTGCCAAATGGATCATAGGACCCATAAGTGCTGCTAGTATGGCATCAACGGTTTGCACAGGGACTCCAAACTGTTGGCGCTGACGTACACGGGATGCTGATGAGTGGAAAAATCGGCCAACGACATGCTCACAACAATGAGTATTGGTATCAATAATCAGAACTTTAAAATCAACGTGCTTGCACAATCGAGTAACTTTTCAGAGTATCGCAATAGCACCGTGCTCCCGGAGACATGGTCTAGCGATAGACAAGAAGTCAGAGTGTCACTAACCTCAGGCTACTCGTTGATGTCTTCAAGATTCACCACCGCAAGAAAGAGGATGTTCGGCCCGGCTCAGATGTTAGTCAAATGACTCCGAACCGTCACACACTAGAATCCAATCATTTAGCCATAGGCTGGGTTGAGTTCCGACCCATCGTCTATCACGTCCATGCAGTACAATTAGCCTGAGATAGCTCCAATTGAACCTGCACTCCTATCCCGCTGACAGGTACTTTTTACTTTGGTCGACCAAATCGGGCGTAATTTGTAGTCATGGGCTACTTTCATTGATTTGCTCCAACTTTTCTTACCCGACGAACCAGTATGATAAAAAGACAGAGTAATCCGCCCGAGGAGCACCATGAAAGACGGGCTCTTCACCTAGTTCTGCTTCTTTATATACAGCCCCCAATCCGAAAGCTGGGTAGGAAATCAACGACCAATTGTGTAAGATTACTAGAGTAGCCCACAGAAACCCATGGCCATACTAGTTGTACCCCGCAACCTGGAGAGCCAGGATAGCATTTGCTAGATCTTTGACCAATGACCAGCCCCACAGGAGAAAGCCTGTAGATGTTGTGATGGGAGTCGCTAAAGTTGTTCAATTAGCTTTTGAGACAAAAAAAGTCACAAAATGATAGGATTTACGATCAATTAGGGAAGATACCATGCATGCTGGATACACACAGACGTCCGTTCACTTTAGCCGACTAGTTTCTGAACCTCATCCTATCCGAACATGGTGTAGTTGTGCACTAACGAGTCTAAACAAGAAACAAGCCGATGACAAAGACGTGTATAAATGTGGCGAGTCTTAAATTTCTAGCCGTTCGTAAGGTGAAGACAAAAAAACTTCGTCAACGCGAACGCAATCCCTCGATAGCACGACTACGCCAAAACTTTGAGGAAAAAGTTTGCCATGTGGGGGTTTTGATACTATCGTATAGCCAAATAAAACAATGGAGTTGCTGAAATGTCTGCTGAAGACTCACCTGGTTTTCAACAAAAGCGTCAGACAATCGGCCCGAAGTGACACCAGAAGTCCTACTAATATCTGACGAAATTGTGTCGTGCCGCTCATTATCATGAGCACCTGTCCAAACATCACCGGCTGGACCCACAGTCTGAGCAGAGCCATCTTTCATAGCCCACTTGTCCGAAAGCTTGTCACTGACCATGGAGCTCATGAACTGGGTCGGTCTAGCTAATACTACCGGATTTGATGGGTTTTCTTCTCTTTTCTCTTCTTCTTCTGCAATAAAACTTGTGAACGTAGATTTTGAAGAGCCATTGTGTACGGCGGGATCCACTTCAACAGATCTCATTCTCGTAAGCGGCTGAGGTTCTGGTGGCTTAGGAAGGGAAAAATTTTACATTTAATGAACGACCTGACTAACATCATTGTCACAGAGGCAAGGAACGCGCTTTCATGCATCACGGATGTTTATAAAAACGCTGAATATACGCAAAAAAATACCTAAACAACAACCCCAAGACTCGGTCAGGTTAATCTCAAGAGTGAGACAGAAAGTGGATCTGTCAAGATATGACCATTCGGATCTCGAAACCACGGAATAAGTGGCTAGGAACGGGGGCACTATATCTGATCTATATTATTATAAACTGAAAAAATAACATGCATTAGCCCCAAAGGACATGATGTTAAGTTACTCAGTCCTGTCATTGGGCTAATAAGCTCGGCTTCTGTAACGACTTAACCAAACATCTGGTCGCAGTCGCAAGGAATTAACGACAGCTGCCTGAAGACTCAGGGGAACTAAGATCGCGCAACATTTTCATAAAAGAAGCTACTCACAAGGTTGCTGAAAACTCGACAGCCCACGACCGTCAAACTTGTCCTACTTGAACCCAAATTAGACCGTTTTGTAGAAATACACGCATTTGGAAATCAATTTGATTTTCACGAGACGACTAAATCTCGCGTTTATATTCTACAAATGAATGCGCTGTATACAGGTCGACTTATGTTTCGCAACATTGTTGACAACAGTGAGACCTGCACAGCTATTGTGTGTTCCGTTCGAGGCAGAACATCCAGTCTGAGTGCAGCCAGGTGTATCTTGAAGGATATGGGAACGATAGCCGCAGTAAACACCAACAGTGCTACCGAACAAACGTCACTTTCAACGAGTAAATGATTTTGATAAGGCAAGTGAATTACCTTGGTTGTGTTTCTCGGTGACCGAGTTATGCAGTCTGCAGTTAGTTTAAGCGCTACCTTGCCAGAGGGCCTTTGGGACTGGGGACTATCTGAGATAGCCAACGTAACACCCGGTTACCCGTTCCGAAATGAGGTACCAGATGAATGGGCCAACCCGGTGAGCAAGAAGACGAGAACCGATTGGAATAGCGGAATAGGTGGAAAAGAAGAATTTGTGTATTCTTCAACGACGGTTTTGCGTACTGGTGAGGGTCCAAAACGAAAATTTTTTTCAGCGTCAATACCAGGTGAAAGCGTCTCCATATCGCGATGTGATCACCACATACAGACACTCCGTTGTGCAAGTAATACACATATTTCAATTTCCTTACGAAATGAAGTAAATAACCCAGATTCATTTCTACGACATCAGATTTGGTGGAGGTTGTTTCGAAAGACGCCACTAGAGGCACACGGGGCATGCAAAGGCGCTTCTAAGACACACAGGTCTGTACACATAGGTAGCAGATATGGGAATGATCTCCGGAGTTTCTTGGTTGCAATTTTTTTCAAGTAGCTCGAGAAATACGTAGTCACCAACCAATCACAGAGGTGGTACCAACATGCAACCGGTTCGCGGTTAACACTCAAGTTCAGTTCAGCTTGGTAGTCCTGAAGGATCGAGTCATGAAGAAGTGAGAGCAGATGAATGAGACAAAAGTGCGGATTAACAAAGCACTTCTGAAGCAAAAACAGTGACAGCGTCGAAGGCGAAGATCATTGACGTTGGATGTGCTTGAGAAGTTGTTGTAAGGCAAAGATGCAGTCAGTGCACCAACAGTCCAGACAAAACCCTGTTTGTTTTTACTACTTTGTCTCTCCCGAGTGTTGGTGATCAGACTCCTTCTCACATTCATATATAATACTTTTTTTAAGGATAGAAACGGCAGCAGATATTTTCTACCCATTTGGCACTTCATTCACTTCCCAAATGCTCCGCATTAGTTTAAGCGGACTGGAGGTAAGTCCCTGTCACCCGTCCCTAAACAAGGCGAAAAAAACACTCAGTAACGGGTATTTTGTAAAACTTTGATTGGTTTATTTCGTTTTTGACTTCATCGTCCATTAGGATCGGACAGCTCATTTCCCACTGTGAAGCACTTAGTGCGTTGATCGTTCTGCTGGGAACTCCAGACCAGCTAAATTGTTCTTCGACGTAGACGATAAAACTTCGGAAGGACTCCCCTGCCCCCCTATCCACAATGACTTCATTGACCGACGGTTTTTCTGGCACGATGTTACGGATAAAGAGTTCAGCCATTCCCAATAATCACTCCCACCTTCATCCCTTAGCTGCCAATGCTCCCCATTAATCCTAAGACAGTGGGTCAAGCGTTCTTTTGATGTATTGAAGGCTTAATGGGATAGTTTTTCATTCCTCGGCCATGAACACGGATCAATGAGAAATCTAAATTGTGTTGGTTTGTGGCTTGGTTTTTGGAAGCACACGGTCAAACACTGAATCAGTATCGTTTCGGATTTCGAACAACCCCTCATTCAACCAAACTGGCTGTTCTGTATTTGTCAGTTGTATGGACAACCGCTGCTGATACACTTCTTCGAAGACCGCATCTAGCGGGAAAAGAATCACATAAAAAGCAATGGGTACCTCTGTGGTAAAAGATAGATGCACTGCAGCAGAGACAGGAACCAAGGCACAATCTGCATTCGTACACGTGTTCCAAAAGCAGTGACAGGCTTGAATAAAAGCAGCGTCACCTATTACCAATCGCCATGTGGGCGACCTAAGTGTTTGATCGGTTACGGTTAGGGGGGGCGATTAAACGCGATTTTCAAGTGCGTGCTAGTTTCCATTGAAATACCCGTTTCTTCTCACTAAGTTTGTCGATTGAAGTTCAGCTAGGAGTAAGGAATCGGAAAAATAGAAAACAGGTACAATAGAATGAAACGCTTCTAACAGGAAACACATAAAGCACTGAAAAGATATGTGAGGGTGAATAAACTGAAAGAATGATGTGCTGACTACAATCTGCACTCGGATCAGCTGCACCAAAGTGCGACAAGATACAAACAGTTGCCGACTGACAGAAAATACAGTTGATCCGCATGAGATGACCTGTCTTAAAGAAACACACTCCACAGATCTCACTACGTACCCTGTCTTTATTGGACACGTAGTTAAGGAACGCAGTTGAATCAACCAACATTGTTTGAAGAGAACAAGATGAAAGTACACACTCTCATGAGCTACAAAGACGCAGATGTACTGGATCGTTAGTATGTGCCATGAAGCAAAGTGTGACTAGAGCTACCTTACACAACATCTGCTGTTTCGCTTTTACTCTACTGGCAAAACGGTGAGAGAAGAAGCGCACTTGCGTGGTCACCCAGTTTGACATGACCTGGAACTGACCAGAGAGATGAGTTTTTTTGTGTCCATTCATAATGATTTAGTCAAAACATTTGGATTTCTTGTGAAATGAGCAGCACGCTCGTCCAATACTGTGACACTGAAATCCATCGTATCCTTAGCATGAGCGTAAACGTGGACAACGAAGGTATAAAAGGGGCATCCGTTGAAAAATATCTCCCGGAGACACAAGACAAACAAACATCCCTCACGAAACAAGGCCTGAATAAGGCATTGCCCAGCAACCATCATCTCTACCGAATGTTAATTTCAACAAGATGTGATTTTCTTTTTTACCTCCATCGACGAGACAGTTGAAATCGCATGCAACATGCCTGTGTCATGGCAACCGACAATACACCCAAAGCGAGGAGCTGGATAGGATTGGAGATAGTAGTGGGACCAGGAAACAGCAGGTTTTAATCTCATTTATATGCTGTCCATGGTGATGAGAGTGTACCACATGATGCTCCGGTTAACCAGACAGTGTCACTAGCGGAGCATGCTGCCTCTCGACTTCCCCTGTCTAGGCTTGGGCAACCTGGCAGTATCCCAGCCCTCGTGCAACCTTCGGGTGGCATGGCAGCTAGGGACCGGAAGGGTGCTACAGCTGAACGATTTTATTTTTTTTCGTGCAAATGAAGTGAGCATTTGCAAACAGGAACCGTCCTACTGGGAAGTCCCTACAGGCTCAGTAGAAAAACGGAGCACTACATCGATGAGTACGCAACTCTGGTAGAATCGACCACGTGATGCTTTGGTTAATTTACCGTTGGGAACAGTACCATACGATCAGCGACCAAAGGTTCACCAGTCTCGGTGAGTACGAATCGTAGTGGTAACTTGATCCAGGTGAACTACATAGACTGCCGATTAAAACCTTATATGGCTGGTCCGGCGTCATCCACCAACAATGCCGCTAAGGTCTTACATTTCTTGATACGACTGGTTGTACTGTAATGAGGGCAATGAGAGGTGAAACGCACAGAAGCACCACGCTGCATCTACAGGGTACGGCTTTACGAAAATGGAGCAATCATCACATGAAGTAAGGTCGGCAGAAACAGTGACAATGGGTATTGCTCAGCAGAGGTTCCAGCTTTCGTAAAATGATCCACAGAGATAGACTATCAAAGAGGCTGTTTGAAGGTGCAATGTGAGTGGGTTCACTAACCAATGCTTGGAAAACTCGCCATAGCCTGGGTAAGTTAGTTCATTCACCCTGCTCTTACATCCTCGCATATGTAGTTAGCACAACAGACAACACGTGGCAAATCGCTCGTGTGATTTGGACGTGTGATAACCGTGAAAAGAACAACCTTGTAATTCCGTCTGTTGTGGAAAAGAGGATAACATAAACCAAAGATGTAAAAATTGGCGCGGGCAGGTGAACGGTCATTTTCCAAGCGACTACGTGTCCGTCAGATGGTGAAAATCACCAAAGAATGATCGCGCTTTTCATACGATGTAGCGAGTTGTCATCCCCACCGAAAACCTGTTGGCTGTCATCGTAGGCTGATTGGAAAATGAGACTCGACAACTGTTTATGCATTTGGGAAACCTGAAAATAAAATAGCATAACAGTTCCCATTAGAGATTCAAAGTCGTCCGCGAAATTCCCTTTACAATACCTTTGTTGTGGAGTGAAAAATGCCCCACCACATTCGACTGGTCTGTCCATCAGGCACAATGTTTCTCCAAGCCAATTTGGAGATGCTTGGGACATCGTTTTGGAAAGTTTTGGTGAACAATCGGTGTAT